GGGGGGGTCTCACTATGTTGCTCAGGCTGGTCTCGAACTCCTGACCTCGGGCTCCCAAATCACTTCCCTGTGAAATGCCCAGCCTGGATTTATTCATGCCACAATTTTTAAAAGATGATTTGCTCTTCAATAGTTGTAAAGATTTTTCTCTCTTAGAAGAGGAAAAATGGCCTTTTTCTTTCATGTACAAATGCGTGCATTTGGGTTTTCCACGCTTCCCTGTGGAGAATCCTGTTTCTCCCAACACTGAACTGAAAATTAATCCTGACTTCAAAGTGGCGGTAGCCTGAATACATTTTTTTCCCCTGTTCATTGCTTTTTATTTATTTATTTTGTATTTTACCTATTTTATTTATTTTTTCCAGCGTATTATGGGGGTACAAATGTTAAGGTTACCTATATTGCCTTTCCCTGTTCATTGTTTATTTTCAAGTTCTGCCTTGAGAGGAACAGAGGCTATTTTAACTGGTCCTTTTTTTTTTTTCTTTTACTTCTTTCTAGAACATTCGTTCACTGTTTATTAAACAGTTATTTTGTGCATAAGCGTGCATGATAGGAAGTTCGAGGCATGGGAAACCAACAGTACCTTGTGGAGTGTAGACCCTACAAAGACGACCTCCCTCTGTCCCTCCCCCCGTGTGGACATGATACTCACTTGCTTCCTACTAGACAATTCGCTGAGCCGTGGCAGGTGTCGCTGAGGGTGTTTTTCTGCAAGTCCTTCATCTCGGCTAAGGCTGATCTGCGTTCTCACTTGCCTTGCATTGAAAAGCAACCGTGTTACAATGAGCATTTGTGCACCAGGTATAAACCCTCCAGGATCCTCAGAACCTATGGAAAAATCTGGGCGTCTTCCCAACTGCCTTTTTTATTCAGAAGGCTTCCTAACCCCGTCTCCCTGGGCAAATTATCAGCTCTCAGAACTTAAATTTTCTTACCCAGGAACCAGCAATGCTCACAGCATATAAAGTTGCTATAAAAACACCTGTCATCCTAGCACTCTGGGAGGCCAAGGCAGGAGGATCGCTCAAGGTCAGGAGTTCGAGACCAGCCTGAGCAAGAGCGAGACCCCATCTCTACTAAAAATTGAAAGAAATTAATCGACCAACCAAAAATATATAGAAAAAAATGAGCCGGGCATGGTGGCGCATGCCTGTAGTCCCAGCTACTCGGGAGGCTGAGGCAGGAGGATTGCTTGAGCCCAGGAGTTCGAGGTTGCTGTGAGCGAGGCTGACAACACCACACTCTAGCCTGGGCAACAGAGTGAGACTCTGCCTCAAAAATAAAGAAATAAATAAACTTCAATTTCCTCATCTGTAAAATGGGGATTGTAAAAATAAATAAATAAATAGGTGGTTTTGGAGTTATGTGAGCTAATAAATGGATAGTGTCTATTTAGGACACGACTATTAAACATTAGCAGTTACTATTAACATGGTGCTCTGGGTTTAATTCTTATGCTGTCATTTTCTGAGCACCAAAGTATATAAAATACACTGATAGTTTTGGGGAGATACTCAGATAAAACGAAGACAGGATTCTTATCCTGCAAAAGCAAAAAAATACAGAGTGGAACACAGACCTATAAGCAGCAAATGTGGCATGAATATAAAGTAGAGAACCAAGCTAGTTAAGAACCAAGAACCAAATGTCAGAACACAATGGAAGGGCCAGGCGTGCTGGCTCACGCCTGTCATCCTAGCACTCTGGGAGGCCGAGGCGGGAGGATCGCTAACGACAGGAGTTCGAGACCAGCCTGAGGAAGAGTGAGACCCCGTCTCGACTATAAATAGAAAGAAATTAATTAGCCAACTAAAAATATATAGAGAAAAAATTAGCCGGGCATGGTGGCGCATGCCTGTAGTCCCAGCTACTCGGGAGGCTGAGGCAGGAGGATGGCTTAAGCCCGGGAGTTTGAGGTTGAGGTTGCTATGTCACTCTAGCCTGGGCAACAAAGTGAGATTCTGTCTCAAAAAAAAAAAAGAACACAATGTAAGGAGCAATTGAATTTAAAAGGATCAAGAAAGCGGCTGGGACTTGGTGGCTCACGCCTGTAATACCAGCACTCTGGGAGGCCAAGGCAGGAGGATTGCTTGAGTTCAGGAGTTCGAGACCAGCCTGAGCAAGAGCAAGACCCCTGTCTCTACTATAAATAGAAAGAAATCAGCCAAACAATTAAAAATAGAAAAAGTTAGCCGGGCATGGTGTCGCACGCCTGGAGTCCAGCCACTCGGGAGGCTGAGGCAGGAGGATCGCTTGAACCCAGGATTTTGAGGTTGCTGTGAGCGAGGCTGACGCCAGGGCACTCACTCTAGCCTGGGCAACAGAGTGACACTCTGTCTCAAAGAAATAGGATCAAGAAAGGAGGTGGGGCAGGGGCAAGATATGTAACCCTAACGATATTTGTATTCCCATAATATGAAGGAATAAAATAAAATAAAATAAAATAAAATAAAATAAAATAAAATAAAAAAGGATGAGCTGATATTTAACCTACGTCTTTAAACGCATGGCCATTCCACAGCAGGGACATGGGACCAGGGCTCCCAGGCAGAGAGAACAGCAGATACAGAGCGACGCGGAGACTGGACAGGTAATAAAAAGACTGCGGCTTAGTTAATTTCTAAGAAGTTTCCCCCGGAAGCAGACTTACCGCTTCTGCAGGGAGCAGCAACAGCAGCAGCAGAAAACCGACTGGATGGTGTTATCTGAAAAGCAGATCATGCTCGGCTGTTAGAAAGAAGCCATGAGTCCCGGCTCCCCGGCCAGGTAGGTGAGGCTGGGGGTGCTATTCCAAAAGAGGAAGTCCCTAAGGGCAGGGGTGATAGGAATTATTACAAAGGACATTCATTTCTCACTTTTATGGCAAAAATATATATATATATGGTATAAAAAATTAAAGAATAATTTTAAAGAAAAAAAAAGCAAAGGACATCAAAGCTTTGACCGTGCCCCCTCCTTCACTAGTGGAAGACGAAAAACTGTCACTAAGGCAAAAAGTTAAGTTACTGGCACCCTGGTCAATGTGGTTTCCCTTCTCAGGCTCTTCTGCCCTGGTCTTGTTTACTCATTTCCTCAGTCTGCCAATGACAAATGACCAGTATATTCCACTCCTCCTCTGTCCAGGGCTGGTGTTAGCTAACCAATGTGCAAAAGACTAGAATTCCAAAAAAACCAGTGTTCTCCTAGGAAATCTGTTAGCAAGGATTTTGAATTAGGTGCATCAAAAGATTTTAAACAAACAAACAAAAACAGGCTTCTTAACTTTACTATGGGTTGAGTACAACTAGAAACTGATCCTTTTTGTTTTTCTTTTTTTATTATTGATTATGTTTTTTATTGTTGGTTTTTCAATTGATAATCTAACTAGAAAGAGATTGATCTTTTTTTTTACTTTTTTTTTTTCCTTTGATCCCATGGAGACCAGATAGAAACTGATCCTTTAAAGAAAGAACTTTCTAATAAATATGGGCCATGCTTACACTTTCTTTGTCAAACTTAATATTTATTTGATTTAAGTTAGATGGTTGCCATTTTATTTATTTTATTTTTTGAGACCAGAGTCTCACCCTGTTGCCCAGGCTAGAGTGAGTGCCGTGGCATCAGCCTAGCCACAGGACCTCAGACTCTGGGCTCACGATCCTCCTGCCTCAGCCTCCCGAGTACCTGGGACTACAGGCATGCACCACCATGGCCAGCTAATTTTTTCTAAATAGTTTAGTTTAAGTGGCAATTAATGCTTTCTATTTTTAGTAGCAACAGGATCTCAGCTCTTGCTCAGGCTTGGTCTCAAACTTCGAGCTCAAGCATCCCTGCCCTCAGCCTCCAAAGTGCTGGATTACAGGCGTCAGCCACAGCGCCTGGCCAATATCATTAATCTGTTAAGGATGGGAACGAAACCAGATCCATTGATTCAAATAGAGAAGTCGGTCTTCTTCGGAACATCATCCTCAACACTCTCCAGAACCCGAATCCATGCTGAATGTCTTGGACTCTGTTTCCTTTAGCACCGCACGGCCCCGATCGTCCTCCGTAGTGGAGCACTAGAGCTCTCAACGGGCAGGATGAGAAGGGGCTGCTGCAAGAGTTCTTACAAAACACACAATCCGACAGACACGCTATGGGTTTGCAGATGCGCTGTCGGCAGCCACGCCCCGTCAAAAAGGGCAAATATTTTCCATAGCCACCGCCCATAAAAAAAAACACTAGCCGGCTGATTTTTCATAGCCGACACAACCGATCACTAGGGCTCCCGAGCCCTGGGGGGGCTGACTTTTCATACAACGCCCACTATTTTAACAAAGAAATGATTCCATAAGGCCACCGCCAATCAAAACCAAGCCCATAGGCTGATTTTCCATAGGCCACAAAAAAAAAACCACTAACACCTAGGGAAAAATTTCGGAGGTCTCTATTAAAAGCACATGCTTAGAGCATCCTGCTGGGGCTTATCCGTATGGGAAATTCAATAAAATCGCCGGCAAAGCACGGCAGTTAAGAAATGAAGAAGCTGGTATAAAAAATAATAATTAAATGTCCTCAAAAAAAATCGTCGATACACCAACCCAACCTCCCTCCTGTGACCAAGGAAAATCCCCATCTACGCGACCTCTCATGCTTTGGTTCATGGTTCAAGGAATCCCACAATGGCGACCAGGACAGTGTCAACTTCCAGAATTCACCAAAAGAGAGAGTTCTTCTCTTGGCAGTAAGAATCGCCCCAAACCACCAACCAAGGTACAGGGAAAGTAAACAAACCATATTCCAGGGACTGGTTCGTAGTTGCAAATGTGAGAGGGGATCAATCTTGCTGCTTGTTTCCCAGACCTTGGGTAGTAGTCTTGTAAAAAACCAAACATATCGGCTACTGATTTAGACTTAATTTGTGGCCGGGCGTGTGGCTCACACCTGTCATCCCATCCTAGCACTCTGGAGACGAGGTGGGAGGATGCGGCTGCAAGGTCAGGAAGTTTGACACCAGCCCTGAGGCAAAGAAGTGAAACCCGTCCTCCTAACTAAAAATACAAAGAAATTTAATTGGAGCCAACTAAAAATATATAGAAAAATTAGCATGGTGGCGCATGCCTGTAGTCACAGCTACTCGGAGGGCTGAGAGGAGGATTGCTTGAGCCCAGGAGATTGAGGTTGCTGTGAGCCGAGGCTGACGCCAACGGCACTCCACATCTAGCGCCGGCAACAAAGCGAGACTCTTGTCTCAAAAAAAGAAAGAAAGACCTTAAGTTGCATCCTAGTAGGATCTGCGTCCCCAAATCCCAGGCCATGAACCCATTACTGTCGCGGCCTGTTAGGAAACTCATGGTTTCCCTTCTGTCCGCCCAATTGTAAGAGTTTCAACCCCCAATCCCTCTCCCCCAAGACTCCCTGTCCCCCAATCTCCCAGCCTGTTCATTCTACGTTCCCCAAATTATCGGCCAACTTTTTTGACCCTTGCCGCATGAGTGATTGTAAGTCAAATGCCTCAGACTCTTTCTTCCGGCTGATGAAGTGTGTCCTTCAGGTGTCGCTTCCCTGAAGTTCCCGGGAGGACTTTAATTGTCAGCAGAAGCTATCCAGCGCCCCACCTGCGAAGGCCTTGTTTCCACCGTTGCTGCAGCACCTTAGGGTGCAGGTCTGTCCTGTCCTATGAAATCAGCCAGAGCTGTCCCTCCATTTGACAGAGAACTAACCCATCGAGCCACTGATGGGAATCGAACAAGAATAAGAAAAATCAGGTACGATGTGACCTTAACGAAAGTTTCTGGAACCTTGCTGGATCGCTTCTGGATCTGCGGGGGGCCCACTTTCATATATACCTTTTTTTCCAGACTAGGGTAGACAACGGCCACCAACATGCCAACTTCATATTATGGAATCAGATTAAAAATCAGCTTGATAGGATTTTGACACCGTAGATATTTTGTGGCGTGACCAAAGTTCAGTTCGACAGCAGCAAGACGGGAGCTCCTTCTTAAGGGAAAGATAGTTATATCAGCACAGGGTCAAGGCATTACTGCAAATTCTGGGGTTTGTGTTGATTCTCAATGAGATTTCAGAACTTCCAAACATCCCAGCGTCTCATACTCTCTTTGTCTTTTATCCCAGGCCGCCAATTTAAGTAACCCAGAGTTGAGTCATAAATCTCCCAGCAAATAGGGTATCTGCTGATCCCTAACTATAACATCCTCAAATCACAATCCCCAGACCCGAAAACTTGGAACTGTTTTGTAGAGGCCCACTCCCCTGACACACCAAGTCATTGTCTCCCCTTCGGGCGGGCGTGGCCAGACAAAATCATAGCATGCCCACCCCGGTCTGTGGTGGCGTCGCGCCTGTACATCCTAGCACTCTGGGAGGCCCGAGGTGGGAGGATGGCTCGAAGGTCCAGGAAGTTCAGACC